TCTACTTGCAATGGATAAGATGGTTCTGAGAGTTTTTTAAAGATATCTGAATTTTCTTTTTTTTTTTTTTTTGGTACCAGGGATTGAACCCAGGAGCACTTAACCACTGAGCAGCAGCATCCTCAGCCCTTTCCATTTCTTTTAAATTAGAGTCAGGGTCTTAACAAGTTGATTAAGGCCTTGCTAAATTCCTGAGGCTAGCTTTAATCTTGCAATCCTCCTGCCTCAGTCTCCCGAGCCACTGGGATTACAAGGACATGACACCATGCCTGACAAGATATCTGAATTTAGTGGTCCAGTTTTCATTCTGTTTATAACAATTTTTTAAGGAATATTTAATTTCTCTCAGCAAACATATCCATCTTAAATGCAAATAATTCTTTTTTATAAATCCTTCATAAGCCCCTATCTCTCTATCCTTTCCTGACATTTGGAAAACTGGCCATCGAGCCTATCACCTAAAGGAAACATATGCAAGCTAACAGAGAAAGGTACGGCTGCATCCACTTGGCTCAGGGCCCAGTATTCCCAGAGGCTCAAGATAGAGTCAGGGCTTCTATCTCACTGCCTCAGCAACCCACTAGAAAGAAAGTCAGTCAGCCTTGTAGTCACCTGAACCATCACAAACCATCACAACTACCACAGAAAAGAGCTAAGTCTACCTTTAGGTCGATGCCGTGGGCTCTCCGGTTCATTTCTTCTGCTGCTGCGCTCTGAGCCTCCATCTCGCTCCGATCTGCTGCTGTGCCTACTTCTATCCCGCTCATCTATGAAGAGTCACACACAGAGCTCAGCACCACACAGAGTGCAGCTGTGTCCTGTCCTCACACATACCCAGCTGCACCCTAGAGAAAGGACAGGCCGCCTCACTCACTCCCAGGTGCAACCTGTACTGCTCTAATGCGGTCCATGGGTTCCTGAACTCACACATTCCCATTCTTTCAAAGGGAAAAATATAGTTACTGGCTAGAAAATTTCAAACTCACAATAAGAGTTATTTTCCTGCAAGATTTCAAAAAAAAAAATAGTTTCAAGTCTATAGTGAATAGTTTTATAAAGTTAAAAGCATGTAAGTCATAAAATACTGAGCAAGACCAGCACTGGCTTTTAYGTCTAGCTTCACTCCATATCACTGTCCTTTCTCTATCTCCGACACTCTTGTATACTCTGGTTTCTTATATGAATTATCCATTGTTTCCTTTATCATGAGTTTTCATAATAAAACAAGGACAATATGCTCAAGCAAACCAGGTGTTACAACTGACACCTGTTCTTAAACTGCAGGCTATCCCCAATCCCTGCAGGGTAAAACCCATAGGCTGACATCATGCACACAGGGATATCCAGTTAATGGGCACAATTCAAGTTTGTGCAACATGAAAAAGCCTGGCATGTGTCTATTCACATGCTAACAGGCACAGGAACCATGCTGCGTAGTTTACCTCTGTCCCTTTTGCGGTCATGGTCTCCTCGATCCCGTGATTTCTCTTTCTTCCGATCCTTTTCTTCTTTGGATGAGGCATAGACACCATGTTCCCGCCTCTCCCGCTCTCTCTGCCGACTACGTTCCCAAAACTCTTCACTCACACCCCCAGGATGGGACGGAGTCTCTACATGAGCAGACCGATAGTGTCTGAAACAGGGAGTGCAGCTGGTAAAGAGCCCTCCATAGGAGAAGATCCCCACCCCAAACCTCTGGCTGTGCCAAACAAGTGACCTGTCCTTTTCTACTCCTTGATGCTGCAGGCTTACATATGGCATCAACCCAAGGCACTTCTAACCTCTATCATCTCCCCCTTAGCTGTCTTTGAATTCTTACCACAAATGTGAAGAAAATGCTAATTCTACATAGCATCAGTATTACAAAATCATAAAAAAAATTACAAGCTCTGAATGTCCAATAGGAAAACTGGAAACTAATCATGGGCTATTGTTTTCTGGCCTCCACTTTTATCCCCTTTGGGCTAACCTACCCAAAGGCCTTTACCTGTCTTTCCGGCTACTTCGGCCAGCCTGCTCATCACCGTCCTCTTCAGCATCCTTCTGGTCATCCTTGCTCTCCTCCCAGTCCTTGTAGGAAGAGATTCTGGACTTCTTCTTGTCCTCCCCATCATCTTTCTCTTCTCGCTCCCTCCGTTTCAGGGAAGCCAACAAGTCCAGTCCCAGCAATGAAGGGCGGGGAGCAGGGGCTTTGAAGACATGCTGTTCACTGGCTGCACTTTTGGTCTTGCAAATAAGACCACCAACCTGAGAGTCCAGATCAGTGCCTTCTAACCGATGGATTGAGGCATCCTCATTGGTGTCCTCCATCGCAGGCTCTGGGATTTCTCTGGGAGGGAGGAGAATCATTTGGTATAGAACATAAGAAATAAAGCTCAGCTATGCTATAGCCCAGAATAACTATAGTTACAGGTATACTTAGGTGGTTAAGCCTACCTACCCACTACCAAGACCAGAACTTCTTTTGCTACCTCTTGCCAAGACCTTTCCATCAAATCAATGACATTCTCAAAAGACCCTCCTATTCTCACCCCCACACCAAAGACACAGATATACATACACACACACCAAATATTACAATATTACAAAATAATAATTACAATTAATCCAAAAATGTCTGCCAGATTCTAATCAACATGCACAGCTCTACAGAGGAGAATTACAAACATAATGTGGACCCAAGAACATCAATATCCAAAAGGATATCATACAGGCAAGAAAAGACCTCACTAAGGGTTGCTTACTGGAACAAGATACCATCTATAAACTGAGTGCAGGGGAAACTAGATTTGAAGTCAGAAACTCAATTAGAAACCAAACTTTTGGCATTTTCTACTTCTGTGATGGTAAGCAACTTCATCTTTGGATTAGCCATAATTTCTATATCTGTAAAATGGAAATAATTTTGGCTTTATCTAATCTATAGAATTATTGCAAGAATCAAAAAAAGTATTCTGTAGCCAGATTTATAGACATAATGGTTACACTATTTCATATTTTATTTGCTATACTCCTATATATTAATTGGGTTCCTTACCAGTTTTTTACATGAGTTCTTCTACCTCTCCCTCCCTTTCAATTAAAGGTATAGCAGAGTAAAGACGTGAAGACAGAAGGTTACCATTCATGTTCTGCCCACTTTAGTGACTTTTTCTGGATCAGTAGTATTTTGTAAAAAAACAAGTACCTTACAGAAGTCAAAATCAGTTTAATAACAATCCATGTTTACCAAAAATACTTATGGGAAACACTGAATTAGGCAGATTCCCTGGAGCTTAACTTGTAACATTTTCCTCTTTGTCTCTCACTACACACTATCCACTTATAAATGTACATCTATGCTGGGCACTTGGATAAATGCCCTCATTCAAACAAGTAGTGAAGCAAAGAACTGTCAAGGGGTAAGATACCTCCAAAATCCAAAATTTTCTGCCAGATTCTAATCAACATGCACAGCTCTACAGAGGAGTATTACAAACATAATGTGGACGCAAGAACAAGAGTTGCATTTTGAAAACGTCATCAGGCACAACAGAAAAGAGAAACCTGCATGCTGGTTTCCTCACAAGCATTTGTATGCATGTAAGGAAATCCAGGCAGGAAGATCGGGGTACACATGCTGTCATCAACAGTTATCTGAATTAGGTATTATGCCCCTAAAGGCCATTCTATGCAAACAAGGGAACCTGGTCTGTTTTGTTGACTGCTATGGCTCAGTGTAGCAATATAAACATGTGATGAATAAATGAATAAGTAAATTTAAACTTAAAGGAGAACAGGAAGTCAAACGTTTCTAGAAACAGCCTGAAAAGATAGCAGCAACAGAGCACAAGGGAGTCTCAGAGAGAGGACTTAACTGGCTGCTGAGAAGAACAAAGAGTTAAGAGGCCAGACTCTGCAGAAAGATTAATAGCAAAGAGGCGAGAGGGTACCAGAAAGTCAGTGAAGAAACCTGGACTGACTCGATCAATAATTATTCACTGAATGCCTCCTTGAGCCATCCCTGTTCTCAGCAAAAGAGATAGACAAAAATAAAAATCCCTGGCACCCTCGGAGCTTACATTCTAATGTAGGAGGTCTTCCACTAAATCTCCGGGTTGAGATACCACTGTGAGGTAGAACAGGAAGACGGAGGAGCCCTGCTCAGGCGCAGAGACTGCCTAGGAGTGGGCTAGGGCCAAGTCCTAAGTAAGGGCGCAGGGCGACCCTGGACAGCACCTCTGGATCTCAGCATCTAACCAGAGCAAGGAGAAAGGCAGCAGGAAACAGGATGGGCACAATATCGTCGAGGTTAGTAAAGCAAGTTAGGTGACAAGGAGGAAGGAACTTTCCAAAGTGGAGAAACCTGAACCGGAGACCGGTATCTGTCTCCTGGAGCCGCTGTGACTGGCGAAGGCCAGGTCAGGAAGGAAGAAGGGACACTCACCTCCCCAAGAGCGATTCTTGGGGCCCTTCTGTTCCGGATTTGGGGGTTCTGGCGCTGCCACCCCTCGGTCTGAAGGCCTCAAAAAGACAAATTCCACTCCTTGAAAGCCGCCATTATCCTCCCATAATACCCTGCGCGGCCCCCTCTATCATCCAAAGATACCATCGAGAACAGTCCGGGAAACGTTGGCTTCTAGGCCAAGTGTGGGGCAGAACGAGAACCAGCTCTCAAAGCTAGAGTGTCTTCTGGGGATCAGCTCTGATCAGAGACATTTCCGAGACATTGCGACCAATCACGCTTAGTTCGAGAGGTGAAAACCCGCCTCTAGTCTGTGTGCGGGAGAGCGGGGTTGGCTGGGGGAGTGGAAYGGCCATATTTGCTAAGGGCGGAAATGACAACAAGCTTCCGGTCAGGGGGAGTAGGCGGTATCTGCAATAATCTCTTCTGTTTTTATTGGTCTGTTGAGTGGGATCCTCTACAACGAGTTCTTTCCCCTGTGCGTTTTCCGTTTCCGTTGATTTCTCTCGCAGTGGGCTGACGAGCGTTGCTAGGCAACAACTCGGGGTTACTTTAGCTTGAGGTTGCGGGCCTGCTTGGGGCGGAAGAAGTACGCCTCCCGCGGCCTGGGTACTCAGAGAAAGGATCCAGGTTGCTGAGGGCCCTGGAGCGGAGGTGACTGGGACGTGTCAAGTATCGTCGTCCCTCTCAGCTGTGGGTTAAGAGCAGCCCAAACACAAGCATCTTCAAAAAAACTTAACATGGGGTATTTTCGAAAGTAGAGACGTAGGCCCCATGTAAATAAAAATCACCCGTCTGTTCAGATGCAGGTATGTCCATTGATGATGTTTTAAAACATTCCACTTTTCTTTGTAAATATGAATTATATACAAGCTAAGTTTCGTAGAAAATGTGGGATCAATCTTTATATACTGTTTTGTAACTTTTCTTCAATGGCTGCAGGACTGTGCTGTCATTTATTTCACCATGTCCATTTACATTGTTTTCAGCTTTTTGCCCTAAGTGCATGGAATAGCCTATGTACATAAACCTTTGTGCATTTGTCTAATGATTTACTAAGAAATAGTTCTCAAAAATGGAATTGTCAAAGAGTATGTCAGTTTTCTTTCCAGGAAGGTTTTTCCCTCTGCTTTTTCTATATCTGTAAAATGGAAATAATTTTGGCTTTATCTAATTCCTGCCCCTGCATTCACACTGTCGCCCTTATTGTGTATTACTATATTGTTTAATCTTTGTCAATTTAATCGGGTTTTTTTTTTTTTTTGGTTTTGCTTTTATCTGCTTACTTGTAAAGCTTAACCTTCCAAACGTGTTCACTACCCATCTGTACCTCTTCTTTTGTGAATTCTTTATTCTATTTTTTATTTTTTTTATTGGTCGTTCATAACATTACATAGTTCTTAATACATCATATTACACGGTTTGATTCAATGAATTCTTTATTCTGATTTTCCTTTTCTATGAACATCTTCTCAGGTGGGTCTCAATACTGTCTCCAGCATTTGTCCAAGCCCATCCCTAGCCTCTCTGTTGACATTGCTCTCCCCTTATTTCCTCCTCTTTATTAGTAACCTTGAGGATTTACTCTTTGTCTGAATTCCAGTGATAGAACAGATCTATATTCTCTTTGAATTTCTCTTTCATCAGGAATTTTTTCTGCCAAATATGACAAAGTCCCCCCTGAAAATCAGCTTCCCTATTTAAAGTGTACCTATTGCTGGAACACTTTCATTTCCTGCATGAATTTTTATTAACTTCATATCTAAAAATTGATATGTGACCAAAAATATACATAGAAAAAGAAATACTACCTTTTTGTAGCATTAGCCAACTCTGAAACTGAATTCAAAGTGTCAGGTGTCTCAGTGAAGTCTTCTGTAGATGCAATAATATGCTCCTTGATCAATGAGTTTCTCAAATATGAAATTTCTCATTGAACTTGCAATTCTTCAGCCTTAGCCTCCTGAGCCTCTGGGATTACAGACATGCACCACCACTCCCAGATTTTAAAAGTAACACTAGATTAGAAATTTGGAATAAATAAAATAATGTAATATAAATAAATAAAATAAATGTAATAAATGTAAATTAAAAATATAAAGGTCCGGGCTAGGGTTGTGACTCAGCGGTTGAGCACTCGCCTCACACTTGCTGGAGGGACCCTGGGTTCAATCCTCAGCACCACATAAAAATACATAAGTAAAATAAAGGTATTGTGTCCAAGTACAACTAAAAAATAAATATTTTAAAAATAAATAAATAAAATAAAGGTCCTTTAACAACTAAAAAGAAATATTTTAAAAAAAGAAACACATGGGCTGGGGTTGTAGTTCAGTGGTAGAGCACTTGCCTAGAATGTGTGAGGCCGTGGGTTCAATCCTCAGCACCACACATAAATAAATAAAATAAAGGCATTGTGTCCATCTACAACTAAAAAAAAATTAAAGAAAGAAACACATATTGGTATTTTTTTGTGAATATATGACAAAACTCTGGAAGATACATTCGAAATTAATGACAACAGTTTCCTGGTATGTGGGGCATGTGTGGCAGTGGGAACCAGGCCCAAGAAGGGCCATGGGGAGAGGGACATGTGTACCTTTCTATAATGTTTCTTTTTTAACCATGTAATTATATTACCTACTCTAAAATTTTATTTTTTTTTTAATTAGAACTCATGCACTTAATTTAAACTGCTTTAAACATTGCAACTTCATTTCAGGATTGATGGTGGGGATTAATATTTGAATTATTTCAAGATGAGCTTCCTGTTGCCCAAACTGACTAGCAAAAAAGAAGTAGACCAAGCCATAAAAAGTACTGCAGAGAAAGTGTTGGTTCTCAGGTTTGGGAGAGATGAGGATCCTGTCTGTCTGCAACTAGATGACATTGTAAGTGAATTTTTTAAACATATGGGGTTTTTTATTTTTTTGTAGTTGTATATGTACAGAATGCCTTTATTTTGTTTGTTTATTTTTATGCTGTGGTAAGGATTGAACCTAGTGCCTCACACATGCTAGGCAAATGCTCTTCCACTGAGCTACAGCCCCAGCCCAAATAAATGCCTCCGTGTCTGAAAAATGAATGGAAGCAGGCAAGGCTCAGATGTAACTCTTGGTTCATTAACACAGTTACTCTAAGAGCTGATCCTGTGTTTGCCCTGAGCTGAACCTCCAAATTTGTTATTGTGCTGAATCTGCTCCAGTGTCCTTCCCCACTAGCAGATTTCAAAACTCATTTTCACAGATAAGGCAGTGAAAGAGCAGAAAACATTACCAGGAGTCTATGAACATTACCTTTTTTTTTTAACTCCATCAGCTATTATTTTTATGTGATACTTAGTATTGAACCTGTGCCTCACATGTGCTAGGTGGGCACTCTACCACTGAGCCACAACCCCAGCCCCTGTTATCTTTTTTTGATGCTAGAGCAGTGGCCCCATTTCCCAGTGGCAGAAACAAACACCAGAGAAGTCAAGGAGCTGCCCACTGGCACAGATGCACTTAATTGAAGAGCTGGGATTTAAATTCAGTTTTCTCTAGCTGCCAATCCCTTTTCTTATGTGCTGCCTCTAGAATGTCCCTGATGATGGTTTCTGATCTCACAGCACATCTTCACATTCTGATTAGTAAGGGGGAAAATTATGGGACAGAGTGAGTGTATTCTTGTCTCTGTCTATTATAGAGAGTTTTAACCAAGTACTAAGACCTCTTGCCCCTTCAGTTGCTGCCATCCACCATGGAAATTAAGTGTAAGCATCCTCATTTGGTTAAAAACAGATGTGTGATGTGTTAACCTGGAAGACAAATGACCAGAAAATTATACCCTTACCCGTGTGGAGGAAAAAATAGTACAGAAGTCAAGAGGGTAGATTCTGAGCTGCGGTATGTCCTCAGAGCACTTTGTCTAGCATGTGTGAGGCCCTGGGTTCAATCCTGCACGGGGGGGCGGGTATAGTTTCTGAAGCCAAGCTGCCAAAATTCAAATCCCAGCCCTACTGCTTAGGAACTGTATGAACTGGGACAAGTTATTTTACTTCTTGTGCTTCTCTTTCTTCTTCTATAAAATAGGGACTCAAACAATCCATACCTCATAGGAATGTGTAAGGATTAAATTAGTCAGCAAATGAAAGCATTTAGGACAGTTAGCATGCAGGAAGTGTTGTATAAACATTTGCTATTATAATAATTGTTTCTAGAATATTGGGAAGAAAGAGACTTGGGGGAATTTCAGTATCTATATTACATGTTTCTGAGTTGTTCTGTTTTAAGTGAGTATAATATGTGGTTTTTGTTTGTTTTGTGGTACTGGAGATAGAACCCAGGTCCCTGTGCAGGCTAGAAAAGTGCTTTGCCACTGAGCTCTATACAACAACCCACTTAAAAATGAGTATGGATTACTTTTAGAGGAGCAATCCAACATGGACAAAAAAGTTTTAAAAATAAATTTATTTTTCCCAGGGAGCTCTCATAACCTGTCAACAGTGATTCAACCTGTGAACAATAGTTATACTCTATCTAATATAAAACCCAAATAGACTATAGAGTCTTGGCCCAGTAATTTTTTCAAACAATATGTTGTAGTAAAAAGTTTCTCAGAAGAAACATTGGCTACTTCTCATATTGTAACCTTCCTCTCTCTTGTCATTTAGCTCTCTAAAACTTCTTCTGACTTAAGTAAAATGGCTGCTATATACCTGGTAGATGTGGACCACACTCCAGTTTATACACAGTATTTTGACATAAGTTATATTCCATCTACTGTATTTTTCTTCAATGGGCAGCATATGAAGGTGGACTATGGGTAAGTTGACTTTGAAGTCATTGCAATCTTGAAAGTGTCCTTTATCTAAGCCATTTCCAACTTACCTATTTGCATGTGATGTTTGCTCTCTGAGTCTTGTGTTAGTACTATTTCCTCAGTTGATGTATCCTTTAATTTTTATATGAAAATTAGGTACAAAATAAGAGTATTTCATAATTGATTAGCAAATTTTTTAATTTCCAACTTAAATATGAAAGAATAGTTTACGAAGCACTAATCATCCTCAAGTTGATAAATACAAAATAAATTAACTAAGTATAGAATATAAAAAGTTTCCCAGGAATTTTATTTGAAACACAATATATAGTTGTTCTTAAACTTTGGGGATTGGTAGATGATATTTATAAAAGAAGCCTTTCTGCCAGCAAACTTCTCTCTTGCCAAGTATCTTCTGTTACTCAGAGAATTTGAAGTCATTCTTCAACCAGGCCTGTCAAAACATGTAACATGAGCCAGGCACGGTGGCATACACCTATAATCCCAGCGGCTCAGGAGGCTGAGGCAGGAAGATTGTGAGCTCAAAGCCAGCCTCAGCAAAAGTGAGGCACTAAGCAACTCAGTGAGACCCTTTCTCTAAATAAAATACAAAATAGGGTTGGGAATGTAGCTCAGTGGCCAAGTGCCCCTGAGTTCAATCCCTAGTACCCTCCACCTCAAAAAAATATAACATTAGTTTTTTAATATCTTCCATTCCATCTAGTTAGCATCCCAATACTGAATGTTACTGACTGTATTCATCATTCTAAATATTTCTTACTCTGGTTGAAATGTATACTTGGTTTGTATTATATGTTAGAAAGTGAGTTATATAGTGTTTGAAAGTGTTTTAAAGCTATTTATTTTCCTGGAACACAGGAAAGTAATACTTACTTGATGTGAGTATTAGTTTTAAACAAACTTTTTAAAGTATAATTTATGACACCATGTATCAAATTATCTTAAAAGTGTTTAAACATTTAATATGATGTTGTAGGTGTATAGTTAATGACTTTGAAAGATATATATATATATTAGTTGAAAAAATGTGTTACTAAATAGTTTGAATATGATTCTCATTATCATGAACAATTGAATACACTTATACATAGATATATACACACATACACATAAGTTTGGAAGGATATAACACCAAAAGGTGTTTTCTGTCCTCACTGGTGATTTTATTTCTCTCTAAAAAGTTATACAATAAATATACCTAATGTTTAAAATGTTTAAAAAATAAATATACCTAATGTTTAAAATATACCTAATGTTTAAGAAACTTTTTTAATAATCTGTTAATACCTACAACTCAAAAGTATAAGTGGTGGAACTTAGGAGACCATGACTAATTAATGGGCTTTGCACAGAAATACTAACCATGCCCACTCTAATGTTAGTGAACTCTACTTGATGATGACTTAAAAAATGATTAAAATATATTAAGCAGAATCTTTCACATACCACAGTGTGGTCCACAGCACTGGTGTTAGTCATGTATCATATACCAAGTGGGAAAATTCATGTGTCAGGCTATGTGTCTAAAGTCTCCCTGATAAGAAGGAAGTAATGAATCTGCTGTTCATTTTGTTTATCCTGCAAGTCTTCAGCAAGTGATCTGAAAGCAGTTATTTCTCTCTTGTGCCATGTAGGTCTCCAGATCACACTAAGTTTGTGGGAAGTTTCAAAACCAAACAAGACTTCATAGATTTGATTGAAGTAATCTATCGGGGAGCCATGAGAGGAAAGCTTATTGTCCAAAGTCCCATTGATCCCAAGAATATTCCCAAATATGACCTTCTCTATCAAGACATTTAGCATATTAACCACTGTTGGAAATGAAGAGAATGGCATGCATTGAAACAGTGCCTGAATCCAGCTGTGCTATTTTCTGAACTCCCTCAGAAATGTGTTCAGTATCCCAGAAGAGAAGAGGTGTGACTTGTGTGTATGATGTCTGGCCCCTGAGCAGAAGACCACCCAGCGGCGCTCCCTGGTCTGAAGGGCTGAGCATCTTCTCTCTGCAGGCCTCTAAGCAATCAAGGGATCATGTTCATTTTCCACAGGGTAGTTTTTCTAACTGTCCTGTAGACTGCTTTTTTTTTTTTTTTCCCTCAAGATGATACAGAATCCTTCTAGACATTGCAAGTACAGTTGATTTATCCATGTTATCTGATGCACAAGTAAATGGAAAGTCAGTCCTGTAAGAGAAAAAGTACTTCTTCTCTACCCTGGATACACACACAAACCCCTGCCCATTCTTCTACTCATATCCCTCCTACTCCCCCAGCTCCAGGCCTTTCTACTCCAATCTCTCTTGGAATAGTAATTGTCTACTAATAGTAGGCTTTTTTTTTTTTTTTTTGGAATCTTTTGAACTGAGACTTTCAAAAATGCCATCCTGAGCCAGGCCCAGTGGTGCACACCTGTAATCCCAGCTGCTTAAGCAGCTGAGGCAGTACTGCTTGAGCCCAGGAATTCAAGGCCAGCCTGGGCAACAATGAGACCTCATTTCAGAAAGCAAAAAGACAGGTAATGGTGAAAAACTGTCTTGGTTGTTCTTGATAATATAAACTAGATTTTGTGTTATTAAATTGCTCAAGAAGCAAGAACTTTAACATCATCCAGTACCCAGTTTGAGCTAAACAAAAACTTAACTACCCTTAGAGCAAAGCTTTCCCAGAAGTCTGAGTTGCTACCTCTTCCTGAGACAGAAAATTGCATTCAAGGGTTCAAGATTGAAAAAAATGTTGCAAGTTCTAGAAAAAAAATATCACCTTTATAGGAGTTGCCAACCCTAATGACTTTACAAAGAAGCCTTGCTCTTCAGAGTCCTCCTGGCACAGCCTTGGGCGAGTACTGCTTCTCTTAAGCCTCATGGCAGCTCTGAGTACTGACTTTCTAGAATGAGATAATGGACACTGAGCTACAGAAGTGGATCAGGCAACATGTTATCTGCCTGGCAGCCACTGCCTTCTTTACCAGCAGAAGCCCATTTCTGTTCAGGGCATTACTCACTACCTGCTGACCCCTTTGCTAGGTGCTTCTGTCCAAGATCATCTCACAGGAGGGATGGCCATGAGACTTAATTCAAGCTAATGTGGCACAGAAGAAAGACTGCTGGGGGTTTATGTGTCCTTTGCTGATAAAAGGAGAGAGTTACTCCAGGAATAAAGCAAAAGAAAATCCTTTCACCACCACCTGTCTTCTGTCCTACCACTTTCCACTTAGTTTAAATCATGATGCATGGAACTATAGCAGCCATTCTTAGGCTCAGAAGGCAACCAGCATCAATATGAGAAAATAATATTCTGAAAAGAACAATGAAAGGGTCTGATCCACGGTGACATTATTGAGTACCCGAGTGAATTCTATATGTGCCTCTCTCCAGACTTCTATGAAAGAAAAAAAAATAATTCTTTACCTAAGTCACTGTTGGTCAAGTTTTCTGTTCTTCACAGCCTCAATCACACGATATTTGGTACATGATAAGTATTTAAATAACCACCCAAAACTCAGAACTTGCATGCTAAAATTATATCGTCTCATTGAGCACTTCAGGGAATCTTCTCTGAAGTCCTGATTTTTATTTTTTGATCCTATCTTAATTCTTTCTATCCACAAGTACTTTTTGAGTACATTCTGGGTGCCCCGTCTGACACTAGCTGCTGCATAAATATAAGTTCTGAGAGGAGGCAATGTCTGAGTCTTAAGGGAGAGTAAGAGACCTTATGCAGAAAGGGGAGGGACCCAAGGGAAAAGGCCCAAGGGTGGAGGCAGCAGAGAGAGCTCACACTCTGTTCTGGAACCAAGAACGAGGCCCGGACAGCAGGAGGTGCTGCTAGGAAGGCAGAGAACATAAGTGATTTTCTTGTCTTTCTCATCATTATTTTCCTCTGAGGAGTGATCAGAAGCCATTTAATACAACCAGATAATTCTTTAGGGAACTGGGATGGTTTCTTCTTTCAGAAAACTTTGTACTGAAGATACTATCAAAAGAAAAAGGTATAAATGAGGGGCGGGGGTTGTGGCTCAGCGGTAGAGTGCTTGCCTAGCACATATGAGGCCCTGAGTTTGATCCTCAGCACCACGTAAAAATAAAATAAAGGCTTAAAAAAAAGAGGGGCTGGGGTGTGGCTCAGCAGTCAAATGCTTGCCTAGAACATGTGAGGCCCTGGGTTCGATTCTCAGTGCCACATAAAAATAAATAAATAAAGGTATTATGTCCAAATACAACTAAAAAATAAATATTAAAAAAAAGAAAAGTGTATAAGTGACTGCATTCTGAGAGGCATTTTATAAATATTTAACTGTGTCATTTTCAGTTTCTGTCTTATTTCTTCCACATTTCCATTAGTCCACTAGTCCACCTGTCGATATATACTAATGGATTTGGAAGATGCATGTGAAGAGAACTTTACAGTGAAGGCCAGATCCTGGTGAACGAATAGTGACATCATTGACCTTTCATACTATGAGAAGGAGAAGGCCATATGTTAAGATGATAAGAAGGTGGATTGGTGAAGGGTCAGTGTACTAAAGGCTTAGAGCAAGAAAAGATTCAGAGAAAAAAGCCTCCTGTTCACCTTTCACCTATGAGACCCTTAGGAGCAAGCCCCTTATCTTTGTGAAATGGAAGATCACACAGCTTGCATTTGACTCCTGGTAGAGGATGGGTTTCTTTCAGGTTGACAAACATCTCCTCCTACTGTGGAAGAGACTCCTAACTTTTTACAGAGTCCCAGAGCATTGCAGCTGGTAGAGACTCCTCTGTTAAATCCCTATGGAAGAGACCAGGGATCTGATAATGGCCAGAGAGCTTAAAGCATTTAGCAGTTTTATGCCTGAGCTGTGATTTAGACCCAGCAAATCAGAGATCCTCCTTTATATCTCCTTGTTTTGTTTTCTGGGGCCCTGGAAAGTTGAAACACAACAGTAAAAGTATTGTCTGGGTCAGAACACATTCTTTTCATCCCACTTTAGCTTGTATCAGTTTCTCTCACTGTGACAAAATACCTAAGATAATCAGCTTTAGAAAAGGAAAGTTTTGTTCTGGGTCAGAGTTTCAGAGTTGGCCCTGTTGCTTGGGACCTGTGGTGAGGCAGCACATTGTGAAGGGAAACACGTGATAGAGCAAAAAACAGCTCACCTCATGACATCCAGAAAGCAAAGAGGAAGAGCAGAAGACCAGAGTCCCATAGTCCCCTTTAAAGGCACACCCCCATTGACCTAACTTCCTCCCATAAGTCCTCTCAAAGGCTCCACGACCTCCCAGTAGTGCCACAGGCTGGAAACCATGCCTTACAACTCCTAGGCTTTGGAGGGACGAGTATCTAAACCATAACTCCTGTGCCCTTTCTCCTAATCCACTTCAAAGAGGCAACAGGATGCAGTTAAAAGGAACTCACAGTTTGTATTTAAATAGACCTAGGTTCTGGTTCAGCTTCCATTTTTAATAGCTGTGGAAACTTAAGCAAAGTGAGTCTGTATTTCCTCATCTGTAAAACAAGGATAAGAGTTATCTCTCTGAGATCGRGCATTCAGTAGGCATTCAATCAATGCACAGTTCCCCAAAATGAACCAATTTGTATCATGTTGGGAATTTCCAGGCAGCTTGGAGTGTTTTCTGACATACTTCCGGTAAACTCTATGCCACTTGTCTCCCCAGTACCATAAATGAAAGAATAAAAAAGGCCCAGACTAAAAACAGCACCAAAATTAATCATAAGCAAGTTCTTTATTAATTGACTCATCAGTTCAGGGGTAGTGCCTATCAGTTTCAGATGGTGCCCTGTCCCGTCTACCTTTCCCTCTTTCAGGATGAAGTCTCACTGTCAGGCAAGGGCTTCAGACCACCCCTCTGAGTAGACTTCAGCCAGCTTGTATTATTCGTCGGCTATGGTTTTCCGAACCCAGTCCAGGATGGAAGGCACCTTCACGTAGACACCATACTCGGCCACAGTGCAGCTCTTATCAAAGCTCAGGATCCCAGCGGCATACCAGGTGTCATCCTCCAGGTCATGAATGACAAAGGCGCTGCCAGCATCACCATAACAGGTGTCTTCCTGGTACTTGGACATGCCAGCACAGAAGGTGTGCTCATTCAGGATGGGCTGCACCCCCACAGGGCTCTTTGGGATCTTCTTTTCAGGCACTGTACTGTTTTCATAGTGCAGCTCACAGTTGGATTGGTCAGCCACGGGCAGCATGACATACTTGAGGCGCTCCGTAAACTCAAAGTTGACATTTCGCCCCCAGCCAGACACATAACCCACACGCCCCACTTCCGCATAATCCTTGGAAGGTAGGCAAATGGGCATCACTCTCTCATTCACAGGCACCTTCTGTTTGAGTTTGATGAGCCCAATATCTATCATGGAGTAGTTAGGGTGGAGAACCACCTTCTCAATCTCCACCATCTGCCTTCTCCCCACAAAGAGTTTTAAAGTAGGAGCAATGTCCTCTGCTGTTGCATTCTCTGTGTGATTCAGGAAGAGATTTTTGGCCGTGGTCAACAGCCACTGTTCATTGATCAGCGTGGCCCCTGTGGTGAGACCATGGCGCGAGATCATCTTAGCCTGCCAGGGAAAGCTGCCTTTGGCATCCAGATATCCACCAATGATGCGCTGCACCTGATCCACCGGATTCTTAGGCTTTCCACACACTGTCAAGGAGAGCAAGAAACTCAAGAGCAGGCATGTGAAAGTCTCCCAGGCCAGGAGAAACAAGTTAAAGCACTGATGTTCTTACTGTCTACCCTTTTCAAAATTAGAAATGCTCAAATGCTTTGCTCTTACCATCTGCTCATCTCACTGCCAATGTTCACAATTTAAAATAATGTTTTTTTCATTCTGTACATCACAAAGTAGAGTTTTAGCCCCTGCTTTTCCAACAAAAAAGAAGTAAGTAGCACTGAGATTTTTAAGCCCCAGCTGATAAACTATTTGTATATTTAAATAATTTTGTCACCATAAAGGAATTTCCACAGTTCCCTGAAACTCTTAAAAGGGCTGGATGCTATCTAATTCCTTCTTCCTGACTAGCGAGGGCTGTGTGTTAGCACTGGCAGGAATGCAAATTTTATAGACACTGCAGTTGATCCAAGGCATATTAGCAGTTCCACAGCCCTGATGGCAGAAAGTGGACAAGACCCTCTGTTCCCAGAAGAAAGGGGGAGAGCAAGGAATCAGGAGTCCCAGCTCGTCTTCAGCCTCCTGTTTTGTCCCTCCATGGGTTAAGCTTTTGCTCAACCTTCCCTGACTTGTTCTTTCTCGTTTTACCTTTGAACTAGGCTCTCTAGGTAGGCTGTCTATATGCATAGGGTCTCCTAATCCAGGGGCAATAAAGACAATGCCCTTCAAGCCCAAAAGAAACAAGATGCTCAGTAAGCTCCTTTAGAGGTCACCTCCTCACTGTCCAGGTCTTGACCCCACTGGCTATGGTTCTCCCTGATCCCTCGCCTTGGCTCCTGTATGCTCAGAGTAAGCCACAGAAAAGGGATGTGGCTTTGCAACATTTCAGCCTAGCTGCCTACCCATGACCTAACCCCAGCACCCACCTGCTTCACATTCAGGAAGTTTCTCTCCAATGTCTTTGTTGATCCACTGCTTCTCGCTGTTTAAGGTATATACTCCTGAAACAAAAGGAAAGAAATGAGCCCAGAGAGAGAGCAATTCTGGACCTCAGGTAGGGTGAGAGGGTATTTAAAGAGAAGACTGTAAAAGGAGGGAGGAGAAGAGCACTGAGCTTCATGTCAAGCACTGGGCGCTCCAGGCATCCCCAGCAGGACAGACTGTGCTCATGACAAGATATAGGACAAGTAGAGATGGGGCTGGAGAGCTGACTCCACCTCTCAAAGACCACCTGAACTTGAGCAAGATATTCATTTTCTCTGTGCTTCAGTTTCCTCATCAGAAAAATAAGAATAACAGTATCTCTTCAGAGCAGTGTTGTGAGAACAAAGTGCTCTAAATAGATAGGAAGCACTTAGAAAGTGCCAGGAATATAGTGCTGCCTACAATGGGAAGGGTTACCCATTGTCATTGTCATTTGTTCTTTTACTGTATCTCCTTTCATAGACAGAGAGCTTACTCTGAGATAGGTAGGCTCCATGGCTTGGACTCCACTTAACAAAAGAGAAACTGGTGCTGAGAAAAGTTTGCTCACAGAACCACCTACTGGTGAGAAAAACTAACTCAGGATCTAAATCTCCTGGGTCCAAGAAGTGCAGATGAACTTTTTGGCCTTTATGGGGATGTCAGGGCTAGGGTGTATGCTGGGCAGAGACTCTTGTCCGGGTCTTACCATCTCCTTCAGTGCGCAGTCTGTAATAGGTGTTACACTCGTAGCGAACCATGTGATTCACATAGCCATTTGCAATCTCAGGGGGCTTCGGGCAGCTGTCTTCTGCAAACAAAAGGAAACCAGTAAAGGAAGTTAATATTCAATTATTGCTCCCAGAGACCTATAAAAAGTCAGAGAGGAAGTTGCTGTGCATATCAACCTCCTTCCAACCTTTGGAAGACAATAAAGGGCATCTACCCTCATTACTAGGACACAATAGGATGAGAAGGCACTACTGGGTCTTCTCCAAGAATGCAGATCCAGTGGGTCAGAGTGGGCCACAGCAGAGGTGGGGATGCACAACTGCTGCCCAAACCCAAAGACCTACCTGTAAGATCTGTGACATCATTGTCCAAATCTGCAGCAAAAAGCTGTCCGCAGAGCAGGAGAGCAACCAGAGCTCCCAGGGTACTGCAGAGAGATGAAGGAAGGAATGCAAAAATGATCCCCTGCTTTACAGAGCACGTACACACACACACCCCTCCCTCAAGCACCCAGGAAATAAAATAGATATATAGAAGTGCCGGGACCAAGAAGTTGCTCCTCCACCCACATATATGCTTTAGTAGCTCTTCTGAACACACCCAGGTTCCAGCAAGTTCTATGCTGCTAGGAATAATACGTCCACTTCAGAGAGTAACCACCAAGATACGAAGGCACAGAGTTAAGGGAGCCTCAATTTATGGCCACCTTCAGAAAACACTAAATTGGCAATAATATATGAGCTCTCCAGCCAAGAGGAACCTCCACTGGGTACCCCTAAACTAGGCTACAAAGATGCTCCCAATACAATGTGGACTTAAAGAAAGGGAACATGGGGCTTATTATGCTAACCTCTCTACTTTTTAAAAATTTCTATAATAAAAGACTTTTTAAAATATTACTGCTTGTTTCCTGAGATGGGATCAACCCAAGTTGGTCTCAAACTCCAGGGCTCAAGCAATCCCCCTGCCTCARCCTCCTGAGTAACTAGGACTACAAGCCCTCATCACTGGACCCAGCCCAAATATGCAATTTAAAATCTACATATGATTGTTTTAATTGTTTTATGATCATTTGCTTTTAAGAAATGGGATATAGGGGCTGGGGATGTGGCTCAAGCGGTAGCGCGCTCGCCTAGCATGCGTGCGGCCCGGGTTCGATCCTCAGCAGCACCACACACCAACAAAGATGTTGTGTCCGCCAAGAACTAAGAAAATAAATAAATAAATAAATGTTAAAATTCTCTCTCTCTGTCCCCCCTCTCTCTCTCACTCTCTCTTTAAAAAAAAAAAAAAAAAAAGAAAAGAAATGGGATATAATCAGCCCGAGTGCACATCTGTAATCCCAGTGACGAGGAGACTGAGGCAGGAGGATCATAAGTTCAAGGCCAGCCTCAGCAACTTAGCAAGACCTAGTCTCAAAAAATAAAAAGGGCTGGGGATATAGCTCAGTGGTAAAGTGCTCCTGGGTTCTATTCCTAGTACCAACCACAACCACACACACACACACACACATTTAAAAAAAAAAAAAAAAAAAAAACCTTAAAAAAGAAATGGTATCAAACTCCAGAATGCCAGGAGGTTACCTGAAAGAGAACTGGCTTCCTGAAGACATGACCGTGGCCATGGACATTAGCACACAGGCCACACTTACCACATAACCACATAACCATCTTGCTGGCAGATGTCAATCATCCAGGATTACTTGGTGATGTTTAGCTTCTTGTCATTTTAACATTTCAAAAAGTCTTATTTTGATAAAATCTAAATCCTTAATTGTATCACTCAAATGTGTTGCTATTGGTCTAATTTAAAAAAAAAATGCTATAAATAAAGTTAAAATGCCAAGAAGCTGCTGCATCCCTTATGAAGAGGAAAACTGTAACTTCAAGAAAAACCATCTGGGCTGAGGATATAGCTCAGTGGTAGAGCAACCCTGGGTTCAAGCCTCAGTACTGCAAAAGAAAAAGAAGGAGAAGGAAGAGGAGGAGGAGAAGGAGGAGGAGCAGGGAGATCCTCCTTAGAGTAGATCCTGTCTCCTGAGAAAGACAATACCACCTTTTGTGGATACAAAAAAAAAGGAAAGGCCTTAATACAGGAAGCCCTTTAATCCACCACAGTTTAGCCCTTGGCCTTGTTTCTTTGTTACATTTGTGCATCTCCCCTGTAGGCTTCTTCTATACTAATACATATAAAGAAGGATAAAATAAAGAAGGGGGCCCTGTGCTATAAACTCACCTCATCTTTGACTTGGCCTCTGGACGTGCAGTACTGTGGGGTACCTGCTGAGCCTTTTATGCCTCAAAATCTCACCCCACCTCTTTCTTAATTTGTAATTCCTGTGTTTACCCAAAGTTGTGTTTATATAACAGGACTTGTTAAGGTCACTGGCAGTTTCCAGTAACAAAACCACAAACAATATCTCTGTTAAGAGTTGAGCTCTTGCTTCATGCTTGGTTTTCCCGTGGTGTTGTTTTACAACCCTGAAGAAATCTGGCAACTTTATGTCCCCATGTACCTGCCAAGTGTTTCCAGAAAATAGCGACAGAGCAGAATGCCTGGAAGAGAGGCCTGCTAATCTGCCTAATTTTTGGAGGATTTTCAACACAGAAAAAGACCTTTGAGTTATTTCAAACCCCTGACGGACTCTCCCCCAACCTAGCTTAGCTGGAACAGTAAAGAAAGCATTTCCTTTTCACAATCAGTTTCCCCATCCTGTGTGAACATCTTCCTGTTGCTAAAATCTTTCCAACCTGAAATCTGTAAACTGTTTTGTCTTATTCTCTGATTGCTCTTCACAGGAAATCACATAAGATAGTTCAGCTATGGTATTGATTGACACAGAACCACCAATCTGTCTCTATTCTGGAGGATTTTCATCACTTAAAAAGGCCTTCTTTAAGTTCTTTCAAACCCTGTGTAGATACTTCTAGCATAGATGGTGGCTGTAAAGAAAATATTTCCTTTTATAGTCATTCTACCTCCCACCTTTTTGATCCTTTCTGTGCATCAGAATTAATTTTTGTGCATCAAAAGACAATATCAAGAAAGCGAAAAGACAGGGCTGGGGTTGTGGCTCAGTAGTAGAGCGCTTGCCTCACACATGTGAAGCACTGGCTTCGATCCTAGCATCACATAAAAACAAATAAAGCCCTTAAGTCCATATACAACTAAAAAAAAAATTTTAAGTGAAAAGGCAATCTACAGAATAGGAGAAAATACTGGCAAATCATCTATCTGATGAAGGTTTAATATCCAGAATATTCAAARAACTCCTATAACAACAACAAAAAGACAACCTCATTAAAATATGGGCAAATAATATGAGTAGACTTTCTCCAAAAAAGATACATAAATGGAAAGAAATCACATGAAAGTGTTCGGCCTGATTAAAAACTGTCATTAGGGAAATGTCACAATGGGAAACCACTTCATATCTACCAGAATGGAACTCATTTAAGAAACAACAACAGTGTAGCAAGTGTTGGCAAGGATGTGGAGAAATTGAAACCCTCTATTTTTTTTTTGTTTGTTTAATAGCATTTTTTTAATAGTAAAGAAAAACAAA